AGAAGATTTTTTGATGAACCTTTTTAGATATCCAGCCAAAATACTGTAAAGAATCATGTCACAAGTTTAAACTCCATGTTTTCTGCATCTGTTTGGGGCAAGTATATCCTATTTAAAAAAATGCACTGATAGGATAAATAAACAAATAACAAACACAAATAAATAATCAAGACTGTAGGCATAATTATAAAATAATAATAAAAAAATCCCTCCCCACTGAACGGAAGTGACGTAGTTTGTCTATCAGCCAATGATTTCATTCTGTCCCAGAATGCCTTGCAATACAAACTGCACGCGCCAACCATACACTTTTTGAAGATAGTTATTTGTATTATTAACTTTGCAACCTCTACGTCTTAAAGTAAGTACTAAACATGTACTGATGTTCGACAGTTTAGTACATTAAGCCTTCATAATGTGTGTGCTCTAATGCGCGTGTCATCATAATACGGAAGTAATACGGTTCACACCAAAGCGATGCTAACAAATTGCTAGCTTCTTAAATTAGCTGCGTATCGCAACAAAATATACACAAAACATGATTATCAGTGAGTATAAACATTATAAGATCAGATATTCGATGTATATGTTTAGATMTCTGCTTTCACACAGGCACTAGTTTACTTACCTCAGAAAGTTGCAATCATTTTTGAAACATCCTTTTGTAATATTGCCAGCAAGGTGAATAAAAATAATAAGTTTTTGTTTACCACTAAGTTGTATCACTTTTTTTATTTATTAGCTTTTGCTTTGATTCAAGAAGATCAGGTTTAGATCTCTTATTATTTTTAAGTTTCATAGCTTTCATTTTGTTTTAATTTAGTGGCAAAATCTCGTTTGACTCAAAAAATGATAAGACGATATTTTCAAGCTGTGATAACATACAGTAGTTGTTAAATATTAATATGTAAACTGAAAAAAACATATTAAATTGTTTCAGCTTCGGCCTTTAGTAATTTTCTAGCTCTTTATTATTGTAGTTTACGTTATTGAGCAGATTTTTTTTTATCATGAAGAGGTCACTCACAGCAAGTGTCACAGAGTTTTTATTGTATTCAGTTTCAATTGAATTTTTTTAGTAACTATCTTGGACGTAAAGAGGCCAGTGATGACTTCAAGCAACAACTCTTCAGTTCTTAAAGGTATATGGAGGTCATTTGTTTGTATTATTTATGAAAGTAGTTTGTTGTTAGTACTGAGTTTGTTGTCTTTGATTAATGCGTCTACAGATGTTGTTGCATATGTTGATGTGTGGTCGTCTGATAAGAGAGCAAACTATTCAAAACCTTTTGTTCAGCAGCTGGAAGAAATGGGAGCTGAGGTAAATCATCTTTAATCACACCCCTGTTTTTGTTGAATTAACTTGTTTGTCTAAACTCAAACTTGTTCTGTTTAAAGGTGTCACAAAGATTTAATAAACGAGTCACACATGTAGTGTTCTCCAATGGTCATTCTGCTACATGGAGGAAAGCTAAGAAAGGAGATGTACACCTTGTGTCTCTTCTTTGGGTAAAAAGGTGAGAATTTTTCTCTTTTATCATTTGCTTAACTCCAACTTAATGTTTTAGCATAAAGCTTTATTGATGCTTTTGTAAATTGTTTTTTTTTTTTTTACTCAATTGTGTCCAGTTGCTACAGTAACGGTGTCCAAGCAGACGAGGCGTTATTTCCAGCCTTAAATGATGAAAGCAATCCTGTGATGAAAAATAGAAAAGTGAGTTGCGTTGTGTTTTTAATAGATTATTTTAAATCTTTGTAAATTCATACAATTGTCCATTTTATGAGTTGAGCTGAAGCGTTTTTATGTCTAAATAACAACACACAAAGATACTTGCATTTTATTTGGCTCAGATGCCTTAAAAAGGGAAGTTGATATTTCTTATGTAAGCAATAGTATATCCAGGGTTGTATGTGTTTTTTCTTAGTCCTTAATTAAAACGTTTTTTTTTTTTTGTTTTTATGACTCGTGTAGCATCGTTGCATGTTACCAAAAGATTCTCCAGAACGAACGACTGAGAATGATTGGCGAATGAGGAAAAAGTTGGACAAAATGCTGAAAAAATTACCTCCAAAGGAACCTTTGGGTAAAATGTTTTTGACATCATTGGAAGATTTTTACTTTAAATCAAAGAATACAACATGCCAACTCATACTTGTTTTTATTTATAGTTGCAGATGTGTCACCAATCATTATAGATGAGGAGAATGGAATAATCTACAGCCCTGGATTAAAAAGGTCCGACTACATGGCACAGCGCTTAAAAGACATGAAAGACAAACACGAAAACATTTCACCTACAGGTCGGAACAACAAATGTGTTAAAGTGATGATTAGTTGATAGATTTTATGACATTTGAAATGACTGCAGGTTGATTTGACTGTTTCTGCCTTTCAGCCTCTCAGATGTCAGGATCTTGTTCACCCACCGGGCTGAAGCCTTCCCTTGGAAGTACACCTTCCATCTTCAAATTTCAGTGTAAGTGTATCACATATTTATACCTAAATATATGTGTATCATACACCTTTACCATTTATACCTTCTCTGAATTTTGTTGGACAGCTGGTTCTCTTTTCAGATAATTTACTAAGCCTTTATTTATTAAAGCAAAATAGAGAATTACAAGAGTTTAAATGAAACAAACTTTTAATCTCAGATACTTTACATATTGGGTTGAACTGCATGCAAAAAAGCATTATTTTATGCTTAAAATACAGTATGTGTTGAGAAGGACACTTCTCCGGAACCCCTCCATATTTAACTTTATAACTTTTTTGTGTTAGGTAGATTTGTAATGATTATATCACATAAGTATTTTTACGTTTTTCCAGCTTCTGAGAAAATATTATTTGCGGTGTAACACCTTCTGAACCAATATCTTGTTTATTTCACCTCCAATATTTCACAGTGGGTGTGTGTAGTGTATATAGTATATAGTAGTATATAGTATATAATATGTGTGTGTAGCATACAATATGGTAGTGCGCACTTATGTGTAAGCATATGTCTGTGACTTAACAGTGGTTGTGTCAAAAGGTGAAACAACACAAAATTATAACTATTTTAAAAAAACTGTTGACTTTCTAAACTCACTTTATTTTTCTGTAATATCAATAATAATAACAACAAATAATAGCAATATTTGTTTTCTTTTTATTTCCTTCACCYTGCAGTAAATGACCAGTCAGATGATGATTCCAGTGCTTCTGTTGCTAAGAATGGATGCTCATCTGATAAAGTCGAAGGGAAGTTGGATTTTGATGTTAAAGATGATCATCTTGAACAAGATTCTGTGAAGCCGTGGCTCTRGCCTTACCGCGATGTCCCAAAACAAATTCCAGGTATGACGTACAGTCCTACCTTTGACATCCGAGAGGATAAAGAGGGAAACAAACAAACAACACCAGGAAAGACTTCAGCGAGGAAAAAAGTAGCAGAGACACTCAAATTTGGAGACAGTTTGGAGAGTCGAATCCAGGACACACCTGATAAAAGCAAGAGTTTTCTGAAAGAAAAAAGGCAGACACCAATGAGGTCATCTGGTATATCTGAAAATAGGAAGCAGAAAACTCCTGCAAATAAATCTTTTACAGAGAGTAAATCCCACCAATCTCCTAAAGCTGTGAATTCTTCAAGCTGTCTTTTATCTTCAAACACATTAGTTGATTCAGCAGCTGAAAACGCAAAAGAATCAGAGCCGAAAGCACACAAAAAAGCTAGACTGTCACTTTCTACCTTGGTGCGATCTTTTGCTCTATCCAGTGAACACAAAAATGTTGCCTCAAGTTCCACTAATGCAGATAATGATGATGTGTTTGAAGACTATTTCTCCCGTGCAAATCACAAAAGGCCTGTTTTGCCCAATCTATCTGAGGAAAGCAACATTGAGATTCCTTTTGAGCTGGACTCTGTCGCACAAAAGAGGAAACAAAGACGAAGTGATAGCTCAGTCGCTTACAGTAAAAAGCTGAAAACGGTAGAAAGTCATAATGGGAAAAAACTCAATCAGTGGTCTGATAAAGAGAGTGAGTGTCCTGGAAAACAAGATGGAAAAACATCTCTTTCAGCATCTGATTGTTCAAGTGTTCATGTAACAGCTAAGACTAAAAGGCGGCGACAAAGCACTCTGGGATTTACAAGCACCAGTGATACAAGAAAATGTAGCTCAGCGTCTACATCGGGACAGCCATCGCCACAAATGGAGGACATGCCGGAACTGGAACAGCAAGAAATCTCTGATTTCACTTCCTCTTCTCACACTGTGGAAAGTGAGTAAAGGATCAAAGATTAATGTCATAGAATAAACTTAGCACTGTGATTATATTTTATTTACTATTTTTATTTTCTATATTTGAGAACACAAAACTAATATATGTTTATAATTGATTGTGAAAGTAAGTAAATTCATATGATTGAATAGTTTTCTTAGTTTTTTCAAATCTTGGACTACTATTTTAATTTTTTTATCTTGAAGTAAAAGTTTTATTTCTAAATGTGACGTCAAAACAAAGATTTGTAAATGTTGTCAGTAGGGCTGCCACAAACGGTTATTTTAATAATCGATTAATCACCGATTATTTGTTCGATTAGTCGAATAATCGGATCATACGTTAATTGAATATAAAACATACAGCTTATCACGTCAGAATGCAGCTGCTATTGTATAACCATCGTTAGATTTTAGCTATTAGCTAACTAAAAATAATTGCTGTGGAAGGCAAGTTCTGCTCTTCAGATATTARACAGGTTTCTCTTTCATTTTCTTAAAATGATCCCACACTTTTGAGCTCCGTTGCTGGGTAGCCATGATACCAGAGCCTGTCTGTATAATGTCTTGTGACGTCCACGGCCTACKCCAGTTACCACTACTGTGCATGTGTGTCAAGGACAGAAAGGCAGATGTGGCAGTGGAAGGTATCAAAGCAGTTTGGAGAGAAAAACAAAGTAAAGAACAACAACAAAAAAGAAAACGATTAATCAATTATTAAATTAGTCATCTATTATTTTAATAATCGATTAGTCGTCGATTATTCGATTATTCGTGGCAGCCCTAGTTGTCAGCCTTTTAATATGTTGAAAAACTAAAATACATGTACACTCCTATAAATTAAGAGTGACAAATTTTACCAAACTAAATAAACAAAATAAAGGCACGCACTTGCATCTTGAACAGCTTCAATTTCTGATGCTGGATGTGGAAAAGGCCTAACAGGAATCTTCAATTTTTCGTAGAATTTTTGAATTGTTTGTTCATCCATGATGCAAGAAATGTAGGGATATGAAATTTTCAGCCAATATCGATATCCGATACAATCATTGCTGTTATGGCCGATAACTGATATTTACCGATATTGCACAGACACACAATTTATATACATACGCACAAACATACTTTGGTCTTTTTTTCAATACCGTAAATAACCGACCAGACCTCTGACATGGTTCTCTGCTTCAGTTATTCCTGGCTGTGCAGCGTCAATATCTATTGTGATCAAACTGAAATCGACCCAGTTTTACATAATGGGACAGATACCGATATTCAAAAAAAAAAAAAAAAAAAAGACCAATATCGGGCAATACTGATGTTAATGCCGATATACACTCCTGATCAAAATCTTAAGACCAGTCAAAAAAGTGCAAGAATTTGCTTTTTACACTATTGGATCTTAAGAAGGTTCTAAGTAGAGCTTCACAATGTTAAAAGAAGAAATCAGTGCAAGAGACAAGAACTTTTGAGCAGGGAATTTTCTGAAAACTGCATTTACACTCAAACATGACTTTTTTTTCAGCTGATCAAAAYTTTAAGACCATAGTCTTTAAAAGCCAAAAGCTGTGCAAAAATCTGGATTCCATGTCATTTTCTGTCAAGTCTTTACACTGTCAAGACCTCCTGATGGCAAAAGTAAAAAAGCTCACTGACTTTGAACGTGGTAGGATTGTTGAGCTGCATAAGCAAGGCCTCTCACAACGTGCCATCGCTGCTGAAGTTGGATGCAGGAAGACAGTCATTTTGCATTTTTTAAATGATCCTGAGGGTTATGGAACAAAAAAGTCAAGTGGTAGACCCAAAAAGATTGGCTGTCCGTCAAGACACGGGACGATCCTCTACCCAAATTAAGGCCATTACTGGTGCTGACTGCAGCCCAATAACCATCAGACGGCATCTATGAGAGAAGGGCTTCAGAAACAAAAAATGTCTTCAAAGGCCACGTCTTCTTCAACACCACAAAATTGCCCGTTTGGACTTTGCAAGGGTGCACCAAACATGGGACATTGAAAGGTGGAAGAAAGTTGTCTTCTCTGATGAGAAAAACTTTAACCTTGATGGTCCTGATGGCTTCCAACGTTACTGGCATGACAAGGAGATCCCACCTGAGACGATTTCTACACGGCACAGTGGTGGGTGCACCATCATGATTTGGGGTGAGTTTTCCTTCAATGGAACAATGGAGCTTCAGGTTGTGCAGGGGCGTCAAACAGCAGCTGGCTATGTGGAGATGTTGCAGTGGGCATCCCTCATGACTGAGGGCCCTCGTCTGTGTGGTAATGATTGGGTTTTTCAACAGGACAATGCTGCAGTTCACAATGCCCGCCTGACAAAGGAGTTCTTCCAAGAGAATAACATCACTCTTTTGGACCATCCTACATGTTCCCTGGATCTAAACCCAACTGAGAACATTTGGGGATGGATGGCAAGGGACGTTTACAAAAATGGACATCAGTTCCAGACAGTGGATACCCTTCGTGAAGCCATCTTCAACACTTGGAGCAACGTTCCCACTAGCCTCCTGGAAACACTGGCATCAAGCATGCCTAAACCATTGTTTGAAGTCATCAACAAGAATGGTGGAGCTACTCATTACTGAGTCCTTTTTTTGACACTTTGATTTCTGTTTTGGGTTTTTTTTTTTGAGCTATGGTCTTAAACTTTTGATCAGCTGAAAAAATCATGTTTGAGTGTAAATGCAGTTTTCAGAAAATTCCCTGCTCAAAAGTTCTTGTCTCTTGCACTGATTTCTTCTTTTAACATTGTGAAGCTCTACTTAGAACCTTCTTAAGATCCAATAGTGCAAAATGCAAATTCTTGCACTTTTTTGACTGGTCTTAAGATTTTGATCAGGAGTGTATCATGCCTCCCTACAGAAATGTGTGAGCTGTTTTATTCTGAGGTAAAAGTTATCATTCAGAACAGCAAAAGCACTTTAGATGATACACAAACCACAAGATTCTTTTATTTAGGTCTCCTTACGACTTGGGATGCTTCTGAAGAGTTTGTATGTTTTTTTTTCTAATTTCTTCCCACAGTGTTGGAAAATTCGTTAATAAAAAAATAACTAAACGACAGAGTGTGAGTACATGATGATCTGTTTGTGTTAGCCCACAGAAGTACTGGGAATGTTTCAAAGATGTATCTGCTTCTTATCACAGCACCTGGTATAAAACCAGTTTGAACCTTAAACAACACTGGTACAGTGTGGGTAGAAAAGTTTCTTATTTTCTTTTTCTAAGTCAAGCTAATGGTCTGGCCTTCTCAATTTTTTTTCAACCTATAGTTTAAAACTCATCCAGACAGGTTTTCCTAAAATATTAGTCTTGTTTTTCTTTGCATTTGTTTGCATTGTAGTTCTTTTGAAAATAAGGATTGGTTTGAATTTCTTTCAGAAGCTAGGTTATTTTTTTGTTATTCTTGATGGAGTGTGATTTTTTTTTCTATTGAGAGTTTCAATGTTCACTCAGTCTTAGGTAACCATGTTGGAAATGAAATAAACAACAACCACAGCTGTTTGCTAGCTGAGTGACACTCCCACCACCTACTTTAAATTGTTTATCTTGTTTTCATATGTAGGTGGAGAAAATGAATGTTTGGTTGCAGCTGCTTTCACAGAGACCCCCTCCGAGGCTGAGGGAAATCACAATAAGCCTGACAGCTCCAGTCTTCAGAAAATGGTAACCGAAACAAAGGTAAAGAAATAAAAATGCTTTATTCTCATTGTCTAAACTTAAATTGGACATTTATATAGTTGAGTGTTGACAAACTATGCTAACATGCCTTGAATGTTGACTTTACATAATTGTCAAATATGGGAAAAGGGGTCACAAAAGCAAGATACTAAAATCCTGTGGTATTTCAGATGTCTTGTTTTCTAATCTTTACTATTTCTTTATCTAATAAATAAATTTTCTGACACGTTTAACTTTTTTTCATATACTGAATTGAATATAAATACACCAGTCAGTCATAGATGTGCATGTATGCAGTTTAAAAAAAGGTATTTTTTTTGTAATATAGGATGTTTAGGATGCAAGCAAAACATCAGCTGTGTTTTCTTAAATTCTTTTGTGAGGATTTCCTCTTTAAGGTCATGCATACTTCCACGGCTGAAGGCGTTGGATGTGTACGTACGCAGTGTTGTCTGGTCCGTAGGGTTTCCTGTGTTTTGGCTGCGTGACAGCAGCGTAGCTTCCTTGCTTGTGAAATGCACCTGCACCACTGTTTTCGTTACGCTAGTAACCTCAACAAGCTGTTGCTGAAAAAAGCTGAACATTGTGTCACTTCCACTGTGCAACATGTTATGTGTAATTAACTTTTAGGACTTTTTTTTCCTGTTGAACCATAACTGGGGATTGATGTTCAGTATTTAATTCAAGTAGTATTAAAATAAACAACTGCCTGTAATAACTCGTCTTATTTGCCTTTTATGTTGAGTTTGTAGTTTATAATTAATGAATAATGGAAACAAGAAAGCTGCAAAATGAAATTTGGCGAATATTAGACAATTCAATCTCAGGATCTCGTCTCTGCTGATTGTGGATGATGTGGTTCTGTTTGCATCCTCAGGTTAAGGTAAAAAAGGGGACTTGAGCTTTTGGACTCGTCCATCTTCCAACCCTCACTTATAGTCACTTTGGTTGATTATAATATTTTGTCARTTATGTATCGGGCTCATAAAAACACCTTACCTTCAAACATCCAATTACATTTTACTAAAAGAGAAAGTTGTTATAATCTCAAAGGGATAGAAATGTTTGTTAAACGTAAGTTTAGAACCAGTTTGAAGGAACAGAGTGCTTCAGTCCAGGGTATAAGACTGTGGAATGATCTGGTGGATGAAGTCAAAATTGCCAGATCTGTATGTATTTTTAAGAGAATGTTAAAGGTAAATTTGTTTCAGAAATATGTAACAATATAATGTATGATTTGTGTTCAAGATGGAGTCAAACCTTTA